AAGAGAGAGATACCTCCATCTCTCCCACCACCACCTTGTTACTACATCATTATCTCCAGGATGTTCACTTGAGAGTCCATTATTATCAAATTAATGACTAAGGATAATGCTAAACTTTGTGGGAGTGGTCTGGTTAGTGTTCAAGATGTTTTGCTTTATTTTTACGAATGAAAACCATAATTGCAGGTATGTTGCTTATCCCTTGTATGTTCACCTAAAAGTAAGTTTGATAAATGCAGTTTTGTTATTTGGATTGATTGTTTTTTGGCTTCTAATCACAAATGGTATCAGAACTCAGAAGCTATAGCCAGGAAATGTCTCTTTGTTCAAGAAGAAACTCATTTTTCTGTAAAATATATGTTCAGCTTAGCTACAAATTGTTTTTGCAAAAGTGGCTGTTTTTTGCAACTGCAGAGCGTAAAAAAAACTGTGATTATAGCCCACAAGTTATAATTATAGATTTATTTGTTATTTATAAAACTTGCTGAAAATTATTATTTCTGGTTAGATATCGTGTTCGAGTTGTAAACAGGAGAAGCCTTTTCACTTTAGAAAAGTACTAGATTTTCCTTTATTTACGAGGCCGATTTCTAGATTAACTGCTTACAAAACAAGTGGACGTATATACATTACTTGTAGTCTACCTTATCATTTACCTATTTATTGGGACGCGAGACGTCTACACCGTCGCGGAAGCTTAATTAATTCCGAGAGAAACAACCCAAGTTTGAGTTTAAGCCAAACTCAAACTAATTAATACAAGCAATAACGAATACATAGATAAAACAATAAGTATATGAGACGAGACAACAGATATACGTGGTTCGGCAAACTTGCCTACGTCCATGGGAGCCACACAATTAATTTTTTATTTAACCACAAGAAATTACAAAGCTTATAAAATGAGAATCTCAAACTAGAGCTCTCACAACACCAACTTCCTTCACTGTAGTAAATGCTATAGGAATAATACAATTTTTCTTGACCGAAAAATTGATTCTCAAATCAGAGAATATCCGCTGGAAGTAAAAGCCGCCGCCGCCACCACAAAAGAAATCCTCTTCTGTTAAAATCGTAGGCTCTCCACATTCAACAAGCCGCCGCCGCCACCACAAAAGAAATCCTCTTCTGTTAAAATCGTAGGCTCTCCACATTCAACTCGTGAACAGGGTTTCCCTTTTATAGGGAAACCCTAGGGCAAGTTCAGTCAGCGAGTTCCAGCTGGCATCCACTACGGGCGACATTGATCTCCATCATGCAAGATCCACGCCCAACAGGCGAGATCAACATCCGCACTCGAGCAGGCGAGTTCATAGGCGACAGGGCAAAATCGACGCCTCGCCATCACGCGAGATTGCGCCTTGCCTTCCACGCCCGCAGACGAAATCTCTTCCACACCCGCAACAACAGGCGACTTTGACCTCGCCTTCAAGCCCTCGCTCGTCCACGAACGCCTCTGCAAGCGAGCTCCGACCTCTGATCTTCTCCAGGTGCGATTTCCTTCACTATTACTTGTAGTATACCTTATCATTTATCCTCACGGATTGGGATCCTCTACTAATGAGGAGCTTTCTAATATCTTCTAATGGAATCTTGGCCTTTGATTTATCAATCAAATGTCAAGATGTTCTCATGAGCAAAAGTAGGGGAGGATAAGGATGAGATCTTGGCCTTTGATTGATAAATCAAAGGCTAAGATCTCTTTATTAGTAGATATTAATAGAGGATCCATTAGTAGAGGATCCCAATCCCAACAAATGAAGGTAATGCAGTCACGCACAGAATGGAAATGGATTTAAAGTACATCAAAAGCTTTTATAGCAGAGGCTCATTTATGTGTAAGGAATTTATGAAGATTGAATGCAAGTAAGTACAAAGAAGAATTTATGGCGATCACAAGGTTCTCCATATGTATGGAAAATATTATTGCAATCCTTTGTCTTCCTTAAACTAAGGCCCCCCACCTTACAATTAATCCTTCAACGGCAAATGGGATAAAACATCAAAATTTCACATTTGTAAGGAAAATTACAGCATGGCTACAATTAATCTTTTGGTTGAATAATACAAAAGTAATTGCGTTAAGTAAAGATTTACTTCATCTGACCATCAAGTTGCGTATATTCTGAACTCTTGAGCGTCATTATTCAACCACAAGGATGAATGTGACAACCTTCATAGCGTTCATAAGCTTCCCCACTCGAATTATAATTGCATCAATTGTGTTATCTAACAGTGACGAATCATTGGTGTTCTTAACCATTGTAACACAAAAGAAAAGGTATAAAACAAACTTTGATGATAAGAGAAAAGGTGAATGAAAATCTCAGTATCTTATTAAAAAATGTAAACAACTATACAAGGAAGTTCATTCACGCTTATAGCTGGTATGTTGCTAATATAACATGCATTTAAATCCTCTATCATGATTAGGATACGCAAGTCGTTAAGAATATAGTGGTCTGAATACGTACGTGTCGTATCTCTGAAACACTAGACAAAAGTGTGAACGCACAAACACTATATACCCGTTACAAAACCCCTTAACCAAATTCCTATTTAACTTAAATATCTTGTTTTTAGTTTGCTAAAACTTTGATCCTTAAAAGGATATGTGGCTTTCTAGGTTAGCATCGATTAGGGGACAAGCAAGTACAACAAAAAGACTTTGATGAAGGATATCTAACTCCTACCAATTTACCGACTCCACTTGCAAGCATCCTCTTAAAAGACACAATACATTTGAAGTGGACCTAGGGGGGTGTGATTTGACTAATTTAGTCTTGGGCTAATGACAACCAAATTTCAATATTTAAACTACTTCTGCATGTGCTTTCCCAAATTCTAAATTTGATTACATGCATATTAAATTTTCAATTTGTCTTATTATTTAATTTTGTGGTGTCTTCTTCTCTTGGTGTCGGACCTTAGATATTTGCATACAAGCTCCCATGATGTGTGTCGAGCAATTAGGGAATAAATGATAAACATTAATTTTACATAGACCTCACTTTAATTTTAAATTTAACATTATCCCTCATATTTTATATTCACTATTACCTTCACAATTCTTCTCATGTTATCCGTCTTTATTACGGTATACTGAATCTTTTTACATGAAAGTTTGTGCAATTTCACTTGTTTGTCTCTAGAATCTAAGATCTACGTTTCAGTAAATGAGTGAATCTACTTAAACATCTAGTCGAGAGACAAAACAGTAATGTGTCCTTTTCAAGGGTATCATTAATGAACATATAATTAAGTGTCACTTAGTTGTCTCTTAAATTATAAATTATTTCTTAAAAGAAAAAGAAATAATTGAAGATATAATTAAGTGTCAACATATCCAACGGATGTTGGCGGAATTGTGAAGTGAAGCCTATGCAATTCAAATTGAAGATCCAAGTTCTAGCTTCATCCGCAAGTGTACCAAGTTGAGCTACATCGAAAATCAATCAAGTTTGGGTATATTTAGTTTAGGTTTTATATTATGTGTGTTAGTACTTTAAGCTCAATCATATACACACATACACGTTTTGGATATATATATATATATATATATATATATATAGGTTTGGTAGTTTTTAAGTTTTAATATGAAACAATTAAATATAATTAGAAAATATATTTTTGTTTCATACTTACATGCATATATATGATTTCATCAATATCAATTTTATTTAGTTCAATGAAATCATGTTTTAGTGTATTATATGTGTATTTTGATAAAATACTATATTTATTGTTTATA